GCACGGTGGGGGAGGGAGCCTGCCTGAGGCTGGAGGCAGCCGGCTGCCCGCGGGTACTTTGTCCTCATCCTCCCTTTCATCCTCAGCCCTGCGAGCCCCGAGTTTGTCAATGGAGCAGGCGCGCAGGGAATGCTCTGCAGGGGGCTGGGGGGGCTGGACTGGAGGGGGTGAACATTCCAGGCATTCTTGGCTTCCTCTAGGAGTCAGGCAGGCCGCGGGGGTGGAGGGGAGAGAAGCCGCTCAGCACTGGAGGAAAGGGGATTTCTTTGGAGCGAGGGAATAAAGGCTGTGGGGTGTCTTTGGGGGGGGTGCAGGGCTTCAAGCAGATGGGGGAGGGGACGGAGAAGAGAGAGAGGGAAGGGTGGGGGTGGGGCTGGACAATCTGCCAAATCCAGTGCTTCCTCCAGCGCCAAAGGCAGGAAGAGCAAACGGGGACCTTGGGCCCAGGGCTTTCCCACCTGTGTGCTTAGTAGGGTCAGGCCCGAACTACTGATGCAGGTGTGGCAAAAAGCCCTGGGAAGGTAGGAGTGCAGGTTTGTTTTGTTTGGTTTTGATTAAGTAGTTTCTCGATTTCCCACCCTCGGGCAGCCCAGAGGGAATGTGTATTAGGATAGAAGGTGCAAAGACCTGCGCCCCCACCCCCTCCCCAAAGAGAACAACAGAGGCTGTTTTCCAATCACCATTCTGGTTTTAATGGAGGGTTCTTCCTGGCCACTGAGGAAGAGAAGAGGGACCATTAGGTAGACAGGGGTAGGGTGAGGGGAGCCAGAGGCCCATCTCCAGACAGCGCAATAGGACATGTGGGTTTGGAAAAGACCCCCTTCTCCGTGACCAGCGGGAACCATTGCAGAAATACCTCTCTGTCCACAAAACTTAGATGTCATAGTGGATTTTCCCAGGACAAAGCATTCACATTATTGAAAACAGCAAGATTCACTTTTTATAAAACAGCGTCGAGAACGTTAAAAATAAATACGGACATTCCAGGGTCCTGAAGGCCCAGATAAAGACACATCCACAGTGTAGACTTCAGGAGCAGCTTAGAGGCAGAAGTTCTGAGTCTTTGAGGTCACAGGTGGGGTCCAGAGGAGTCTGGGCCCCTTGAGATGAAGTTCATACAGCAGCCTGAGCCTTTTCAAGTCTTTTAGATTCATAGCAGCGACTCCAGGAGGCTTGGGCCAGGCTGGGAGGATGGGAAAGGGAGAGAACCTTTGAGGAAACAGAAGCTGTGTTCTCTTACGCCTAGGATAAATAAGGAAGGGTCCCTCCAGGCCGTTCCCAGGATGCCCCAGGTGCATTAGGGGGGCACAGTCCAGTTGTAGCGGTGGGTGGGGGTGGGAATGTGTGTGTGAAGACAGTCCAGCCCACTCTGGCAGGGAATGGGTCGGGCAGGGGCTGCTCCGGAAGGCACCCTGTGTGAAACTTATCCCTGGCAATAAAGGGCGTAGGCACCGATGGGGCACACTGCCCAGTCTCTGCAGCCCCGCCATGCGTACAAGAAACAGGCAACCAGGCTCTGCCGCGGGCCTGACCATTCCACTCCGTTTCTCTACTCTTTTCCCCTCTCTTATCTGCTTGGTTCAACAGGGCTGAAGACACCGAACCCCTGATGTACCTGCTCCCCACATCCAGCCCAGCCAGGGCTCCGCTGCGAGCCCCCTCAGCCTTCTGAGCTGGGGTGCTGGGCCTGGGCGGCAGGAGAGAAGGCATCGCCCATTGGGGTGCAGCCAGCTGCATCTTGGAACCTGCCCGGGCTCGGGCAATGCCCCCACCACTCAGCTGAGCTTTGAGTAGACCCCCAGTGCCTGTCGGTAGGCCTCTGTCACCTCCTGGCAGTCTGTCAGGGAAAAGCAGCTATCCCCCCCCAGGGGGTCCTGCCGCCAGCGCCTCAGGCAGCTTCCGGGGCCCTCTGAGGGGGGCTCGTCCAGGCCTATGAGGTCGTCCACAGACACACAGCCCCGCAGCGGGGGCTCAGGGAGCCGTTCGGGCAAGTCCAGCTGGTCAAAGGACTCAGAGGACAGGATGCTGTCCTCACTCACAGCCCCTGAGGGACGGCTGGTCCGGGCCGGGGGGCGAGGTGCGGCCAGTTCATCCAAGGAGCCGAAGGTGGTGGGGGCCGCGAGCTCCGAGGCCGTGCGGGAGAACTTGCCATTGAGTTTGAGAATGCCCTTGCGATGGAGCAGCAGCCCCGAGGCTTGGGGCGGCTTCTGCTCCACAGGGTCCCCACTCACAAACACGTCACCTGCGTCCAAGAGCTCCCCAGACTCACTGGGCTCGGGAGAGGAGTAGTAGCCAGACTCGCGCTGCCGGGCCTTCTTGAGGATGCCCTTCCTGGGGAGCAGGGGGGCAGCCTGCCCTGGGCTGGTGGGGACTGGGCTGGGCTCTGGGGGGTCTTCCTTTGCCCCCTCTGATGAGGTCAACGCCGCCTTCTTGAGAATGCCCTTGGGCAGCTTGAGGTTGCTCTTGCCAGGGCGAGGGGAGGTGTCCTCAGCTGGGTTGCCCTGGAGAGACTGGGCCATGTCATTCTCCTTGCGGGACTTCTTGAGCGAGTGCTGGCGCTCCAGGCCGGGGGCGGTGCTCCCACTGCCAGGAGCGTGCTGCTTGAAGAAGCTGCACACCTTGGCCCCGTTCTCCAGGAGCGGCCGGGAGGAACGCCGGAGCCAGTCGGCCATGGAAGCCAGGGCAGAGTCGCCGCCAGGGTGCCCACCCTCGCGAAGAGCCTCCTGCTCCCCTACGCGGGTGGCATAGCCCCAGTTGACCCACCAGTGACTGGCCACATCCTCCAGGGTGGCCCGGCGGGTGGGGTTCACCATTAACAGCCACCGGATCAGGCCACAGGCGTCTGGAAGACAAGAGGCAGAGGCTTTAGTCTGGCAGCTCCGAGAATGGGCCCCCGCATGGGCCCCTCTCACCGGCTTGCCCCTGATCTGAGCTAAGACGCTGCTCACCCCTGGGTCAGATATGTCCATTCCGACCTAGGACTCTACATGCCCCAGCCCAGCCACCTCCCCCATCCAGCCTTCCTGGATTGACTCCCCCAGCTGCCTCTCTGTCCCACGACCCCTCAAGACTGTGACCCCTTCATGAACCCGTGTTGGTATGTCAGTGTGTATTCTCTCTCTCCACTGAATCCAACCCTCTGAGGGCAGAGACTGTGCTCCAGGGTAAACTGAGGCTCTCACACCCTTTTCCCTGCCTTCTACATAACAGGGAAAGGACAAAAAGGTTTCTGAGGGTGAGAACAAAAGCAACAGGAAATGAGACGACTGCAGCAAAGATCTAAGTTAGACTGTAGGAAGCACTTCCACAGTATAACCCAGCGTGCCCACCAGGGAAGGAAGAGATATCTCCTCCGTCCTCAGAGGGCTCAGACATTGGAGAGATGGCCGTGGAGGGTTCCCTAATCTCCTGCAGGTCACAATGGACTGCTGCCCTCTTCACTCTAGTGCCACTGTTTACTTCCTGCTCTGGCTGGGAAGCCCCCCACCTCGCACTCACCAGAGGGCTTGGGCGGCTCCCGGTAGGCCCCGTGGCTGATCTGTTTCACCAGCGTCTTATGGTCCTGCCCGTCAAAGGGCATGGTGCCATGCACCAGGATGTACAGGAGGACACCCAGGGACCAGCTGTCCACCTGAGAGAGAGGGGAGATCAGCAAGCTGCCCGTAGCCACTGCAGGGGGCTGCCAGCCTCCCCTTCAACACCAGGGAAGGAAAGGTACCTTCTGGACAACTCGGAGGCCACACATCTGAGGACCACCCACCTCTGGTACCCAGGGGCAATGAGGGGGACGCTGCACCGGGGCTGAGGCTCTTAGCGAGAGATGTCAGTCGCCTCCCCAGGAGGGACGGCCACAAGCACAAGGGCAGGGTGGGGTGGTTGTGGCGGACACCACCTCCACATAAGGCTGGACCGGGCCCCAGGAAAGGGAACGGGACTAGGAAAGGTGAGGGTGAGAAGAACTAGACTGCGAGTCGGAGACCTGGGTTCTAGTTCCAGTTTTGCCACTCCTGGCTAGAGAACTGGCAAGTCACTACTTTCGGGGGGGTTGAGTTTTGTGCTCTGAAAAAGGGAGTAACGAGAAAACCAGCCCGCCTCGCTCACAGGATGTGAAGTCCTGGGAAGTGACTGAGGCAGGCTGGTGGCGGAGGGCGGCCACTCACCTCTGGGCCCGTGTAGGGCTTCCCGTTGACGATCTCTGGCGAGGCATAGAGGGGGCTCCCACAGAAGGTCTGCAGGAATTTGCCTTGGTGGTACAGGTTGGAGAGGCCAAAGTCAGCAATCTGCAGGATTGGGGCAAACGCAGACACGGCTCAGGCCAGGGCCAAGGTTGTTCTGTAGCTCCTAGCACGCCCCTCTCCAGACCCTGGGGAACACCAGGCCCCAACAGAAGGAAGGGGTCCCCATGACCCCTACCCCACCCTGGGCACATAGCTCAGGCCTGGAAGAGAGAGCCCTGAGCAGGTGTGCCAGTTGGGAGCACCCAGGCAGAGGCCTGTGGGGGGCTCCAGGATCCTGCTGCATCCCATCCCAGAGATCCTCTCTCCCACCTGCATCCAGCAAACCCGCCTCCCCCGGGAGGCCTTCCACTGCCCCGAGATCGCCTCCTCCTATGAAGCCCTACAGTGGCCCAAGGCTCCCAGGAGTCCCAGCTCATCAGCGCTGCCCCCGGGCCAGGCTCCGCACTCCCACACTGCCCTCCTTGCCCCACCTCTGCTGCAGCTGCTAGCCCGCGTGAGATCTGGATGGGGCCCAGTGGACACTTACTGGCTGAAAGGAGCCAGATGGAGAGGAGAGCCCACTCCTCATGCCAATGCACAGCCCTCAGGACTACCCGTGAACCGTGCAAGACTGGAGCTGCCCCTCCTAGCACAGGGCTTATCCCTCGGCCCGCACCTGGCAGCAGGAACCTGGGGTCAGCCCGCAGTAGCTACGAAGCAATAGGGAGGGCAAAGCAAGCACCAGGGCTGTGGGTACAGCCCAGAAGGGATCTTCTCACAGGACTCCTTGCGGCACCTGGCACTGAGCGCTTGAGAAGCCCCAATCCCACTCTCTCGCTCCCCACAGACAGCCTTTCCCAGCTATCCACAGTTAGAGGCCGAGGAATATGGCCCGCTGCTCCCCACCCTGTAAGAGGATTATGCGTGCCTGGGCTGGGGAGGGGCTGTGTATGAAACTCGGGCTCCTTCCTTTATGGTTTTATTGTCCTCTTATCGAGCAGATACGGGTTGAAGCCCATGGTGAGGCCTGTGATTGGTACAGATGGGAAGGTCCATGCCTGTCCTGGTTATGGGTTTATTGGCTCTGGCTTCCCTCCCCCTGGTCAGCATCAAAGGGAGCCCCACCTGCTCCGGGAATTGGCTGGGAAGGGGAATGAACTTAGTACTGAGGTGCCTCGGGGGACAGTGGTCAGGAGCCGCTGGACAGAACTAGGTTCAGGAAGATTCTGAGGAAGGTCAGAGGGCAGAGTCACCCTCCCAGGTGCCTGCTAGGGGCCAGCCTCCTTGCCTGAGCCAGCCCTTGCCACACCCTCCTTCTGAGATCTGAGTTTATTCCACCAACATGAGCTTCTCCTCACCGATCTAAATTTAACTCCTTGGGAAGGGAAATCTGGCAGCAGCAATCAGGAAGCCGGTGCTGAAGTGCTTGGTCTGTGGGGACAGGTGCCACACAGCTGCCTAACTGCAGCAGATTAAAGTGCGCACGTGTGTGTGCACGTGTGTGTGCACGCAAGTGTGCACGCGAGTGTGCACACATACAGGAGGGCAGAACTCCCGGCCCACCCCAAGGTTGTGAGCAAAAGCTGACCCTAGATCTAAACTCCTGCCAGCCTTGTGATGTCAAAAGAACACTGGTCTGGGAGTCAGAAGACCTTGGTTCCAGGCCAGGCTCAGCCACTCACTAGTTGTGTGACCTTGTGCAAGTCACCCTTCATCCTGAGGCCTCAGTGCTCCAAGCAAGCAAGCATCGAAGTGGATGAGGTCCCTGCCAGTACTAACGTATTAAGTCTGATCTTTGCTCAACTCCTTTAGGAACCCACTAAGAGCTTAGAGCTACCTGGCTGGGGATGGTGCAGAAAAGCTAAGGTGGGGCAGGGAAGCTTCTGGAAACAAGAAGTGGGGCTCACCTTGATATTTCCATTGGCATCTAGGAGAATGTTCTCCAGCTTGAGATCCCGGTGGACAACTCCGTTCTAAAAGGAGGAGGGAGTAGAGTCAGGGGAAGGTCACCAGGGAAGGGAAGGGGATGAGGGGCCTAGTCTGGAAAGTGAGGCAAACACAAAGGGAGCCAGGTGGGGCTGAGCACAGGTAGGCTGGGAATGCCCATCTTCACTGGCATATGACGCAAGAAATCGCAGGCCCTTCCATCCCCGGCCAAGAGACTCAAAGTCAGAGACACCAATGTTTCCTTGTGTGAGAGTCCAGAATCCAGTCTTGCCTCTGCTTCTGTCTTCCTGTGTGACCCAGGACAAGTTGTGGAATCTCTCTGGTCCAAACCAGTCTGAGGGTCCCAGGGACCACCCCGCCGGAACACGGCCGGGGCAGGTGGGTGCTCACCTGGTGGCAGTAGTACACAGCAGAGACGATCTGCCGGAAGAAATGCCGGGCGTCGCGTTCACCGAGCCGCTGCCGCTCGCTGATGTAGTCGTACAGGTCGCCCCGGCTGGCATACTCCATGACGATCACGATCTTGCTGCTGTTCTCGAACACTGCGCAGAGCAAGGTGGGGAACGTCAGGCTCCCCCAAAGTCTGCTCTCCACTGGGGGTCACTCACTCCACCCTGGCCCCACACCAGACAGGACCTCCCTCCAGAGATGTCTGCTAACCAGGCTGCAGGAGAAGGGCCTTTGAAGCTCCCAGCTCCTTCAGGGAGCAATGAGTCAAGGCCAAGGACACTGCCTTGCCTTCTCCCTCCTTGGAAGTTCGGGCTTTTGAGGATTCTGAAAACTACCTGCAAATTTCCAGAAAGGCAGAGACATCACTGGCTGAGATTGAAAGGTTAGTCTCTTTGGTTTAGAAACCAGCTCTTTTTCACCTTGTGACCTTGGGCAAATCTCTTCTAGATACATCATAAGAATACAAGTTTGCTGAGTGGTCTTGGACAAGTTATTTTACCACTGTGCCTCAGTTTCCTCATTTGAAAGGCAGGATAATAATGGCAGCCTCACAGGGCTTGGGTAAGAAACAGATAAAAAGTCAGCAATAGCTTTGGGGCTGGCTGAGCAAGCTGGCACAGTGTCTGGCACACGAGCAAGCTCTTGATAAATGGTATCTACTGTTATCTTTATAATCAGTGCCCTCATTAATAAATTTGAAAAATACTGCCAATAATAATGCCTGCCTGGGAGAGCAGAAGAGGGATAAAAGCTGTGAAAGTGGATCTTGAGCTATAAAGTACCGGGGAGAGCTGGGCCGTTCGTCACCCCCACCATCTTTGACTTCCGTCCAGCGTGTCTGGGCCAGGGCCTCATGCATACGGCTCGTACACAGAAGCAATCAATACATATTTGGCAATTAATTGACTGGCTGGGTTCCTGGCTGTCAGCCCATCCCAGCTGGCTCAGCTCCACGTGTAGGAGGGGCCTTCTTGCCACCTCGGGCCTTGTCCTGGCTCCAGACCCCTGGAAAGGTAAGGAGTGGCTGGTTCACTGAACTGGCCCTTCAGCTGGGTGTGTGTCAGCACATGCACGTCCGTGACATCGCATCTTTGTGTCAGATGGGTCCTGTGACTTGCTTGGCCAGCCCCAGAGCTGTTGCTGTCTAGCCTCTGAGAAGGAGCAGAGGGAGGAGCCTTCTCCCAAGAGGGGTCCCAGCTTCCAGGCACTCCTGGATACGGGCCAGGAGGACTGTACCTTCTTCCAGGGGAACATGAATAAACAGCCCTGATCCATGGTGGCTCAGCCTCCTCGGGGTGCCTGGCTGAGGCTCCACCACTCCTGGGGTTCCCGACATCTCTGCAGGGGTCTGTGTAACCTTTGTGCCATGAAACCGGGGGTCAAGAGCCAGCCAGGGCACATTCTGGGGAGAAGCTAGGTCAGAGGTCAGTTCCCAGGACTGGAGCCTCCCCCAGCCCACACCCACTGAAGCCTGAGGCAGGATGGGGATGAATCTGGGGGCCCTCACAGACACGTTGTGATGCTCTGTGTGTGCTGAAGGTGCACGGGAAGCCACATCCTGAGATGCGCTCAGTTCCCAGACCCAGCTGGGGAGACGGGTGTGGGGGAGAAATCACACACACACACACACACACACACACACACACACGCACACTCTGCCAGTCACCAAGCTCAGCCGGCTTAACCAATGCTTTGTCATCGGCCCACTCTTCCCCGAGGGAAGTACACAGAGATACAATTAGTCTTCTCAGCCACTTGCCTGGGCTTCCCATGGGACAGGCTCAGGCCACAGGGCCATGCCAGTGGCTCTGCCTTCATCTTCCTAAGAACAGGACCCGAGAGCAGAGACTGCTCCATTTTTTCCCCACCCGGAAAATTCAGACAGAGTCTCCCTTCCCTCCCTCCTGCTGCTACTGCTCTCCCTGGCTTCCCATCTCATTGACATTATGTAAAGGCTCTCAGCAGACAGGTGTGTGTGGGAGGGTGCCTCCCCTCTTTCCCTCATCACCCTGTCTTGCTCACTCAGTTGTCTGGGTCACAGGGGAGGGGGCAGCCAGGGTGGCGAAGTCAGCACTGATGTCAGAGAAGAGGAGGCCAAGAGAGACGAGGAGAGGTAGGAGCCAGCCCCGTGGCGGGAATGATTCAGAGCACAGGACGGACTCTAGGAGGTCTGGCTCTTGGGACATATGAAGACAGCGCCCATGCACCTGAGCCAGGTGCGTGTCTACGTGTGCCTCGGCCTCCTGAGGACTGCTAAGGATCCTGTTGGGTCAGGAAGGGAGCGTGCAGGGAGGGAAAACCGAACAATGACAAAAAAGCCTGCAATCCCTTGAGTACCTCGCACGAGCAGAGCCCTCCGTGACATTATCCAGTTTGATCTTTGCAGCCACCTTGTGATGTAAGTGGGACTGTCCCACTTTATAAATGAGGAACTGAGGCCCAGGGTCTAAATTAAATGTTGCCTAACGTCACACGGCTGGGTTTCGAATCCAGCTTTTGCCCAACTCTAAACCCCGTGGCTTTTTCACTTCTTTGTGTTGTCTGTTCTGACTCCTTCTAAACACACACGTGGGCACACACACTCCGCTCCCCCCCACCCCGCGTACCTTCGTGGATGGCGATGATGTGAGGGTGGTTGAGTGACGACATGATCTCGATCTCCCGCCGTATGTGCATCAGATCTTGCTCGTCTTTGATTTTGTCTTTCCGGATTGATTTGATGGCCACCTGGAACAGAGAATGCGGGAGAGTGAGGAGAAGGGTCTGACAGGTAGAGGCATCCCTGAGGACGTTCTAGGGACCCTGGCCCTGCTGGCCTGCCTGCACCTGCCACAGAGGCCACAGAGTGCACCCAGAGAAGCCACTCCATCCTTCCCCACCCAGGGCAGGTGGCAGAGCGGCTGGAGAGCACCTTCTCTAGAAAAGGTTCTCACCGGGGTTGGGTCCAGTCCATGCAGCAGGAAGGAGGAGTACGCACCAATGGCCTCCTGATTCAGAGTGTATAGTTGAACCGGGAAGGCGACCGCCTGCATTCGTAAGGCAGACGCTTTATGCTTTATGTAGCCAATGTGCCAGACTGCAGTACGAGGACGGGGATGGGGCCTGTTCTGCTCACCACCGGATCCTTGATGCTGGGCACAGTGTCTGGCAGGTGGCTGCACTAGAGAACTGTTTGCGGCATCGGTAAAGGAACTGACCCTCACGACAGCCCTGGGAGGTAGGCACAGAAAGTGTCACCATCCCCGTTTACAGGTGAGGAACCCGGGACCCCGAGAGGTTAAATGACGTGCTCAGGCGTACGGTCACCAGCTGGCACCAACTGGGGTGAGACTACTGGCCCTCTGACTCCACGTTTGGTACCTTATCTGCCCCCAGACGCTAACTTGCCTTAAACAACTAATCTCTAGCCGAAAAGTGGAAACAACCCAGATGTTCCTCAACAGATGAAAGGATAAACAAAACATGGTCTATCCACACAATGGAACACTATTCAGCCATAAAAAGGAAGGGAATTCTGACACATGCTAGAACACAGATGAACCCTGAAAACGTTATGCCGAGTGAAATAAGCCAGTCACACAAGGACAAATATCGTATGATCCCGCCTGTGTGAGCACCTAGAATAGGCAAATTCCTAGAGACAGAAAGTGGAAGGGTGGTTGCCGGGGGCTGGGGGAGGGGAAGACGGGAGTTGTGGCTTAATGCCTATAGTTTCAGTTTTACAAAACAAGAATTCGCAGACTGGTGAACAGCAATGTGATCATGCTTAACACTATTGTACATGTAAAATGGTAAGTTTTATATTATATGTATTTTACTACAATGTTTAAAAATATTGCCCCCAAAATTATAGGGGAAAAAACTCAAACTCCAATCTCTTCTCTGTCCCCTGGTGACAAACAACCCGGCAGTTAAACAGAGTCCTCAGGCCCCTGCCGTCTTAGTCTCCACAGGTGAAAAACACCATATGAGGTGTAACCCCCGTGCTGGGGCGTGGGGTGCACTCAGGAAGGGTGGGGTGAGGCAGGAGGACACAGAGGAGCTGCCAAGATGCAGCTCAAGCCACCTCTTGGGGACTGAGGCGGCTGGGCCTCTCTCTGCTCAGCCCCACTCAGCAGCAGCTGCTGGACAATGCCCCAGGAGCACTGGTAGCAGCGCCTGCGTGTGAGGGACATGCCTGTGGAGCCAAGGGACCAGCCCCCGTTCTGGGCCCCTATTCTGTCGCTGTCCCTGTGGGCGAATTCCAGCCCTTCCCAGAGCTGCAGTTTTCTTTTCTGTGAAATAAACAGGTTGAACTAAGATGTCTGGGGCTCTCCTGCTCTGATTCCCTGCCATGTGCTGTACAAATGCCATGGCCCTCGGAGGCTGCACGGCTGGCATCAGGGGCTGGGCGGGAGTGGGGTGAGGGTGGGGTGTCCCAGGGCCAGCCAGTTCCTGGCAAGCCCTGTCCAAGAGCACGGATGGTAAATACAAGACTTCCTCTTCGCGGGAGATAGGCAAGTTATGAGAAATCTGAAGACGCAGACGGAGGCAAACAGCCCCTCAGTCCAGTTCCCAGGAGGGTTGCCTCCCCTCACGCCTCAAAGGGAGACAAAAAAGGAAACCCTGGCTTGAGGGGAGGGGCCTCTAATCCGCCCTTTCAAAGGGCTCTGGAGGCAGACAATGGCTTCCGGCTCGCAGGGCTCACGGGGACAGCGGCCCTGCCGGCCTGCGCTCCCCATCCGACAAGAATGCGGAACAGCCCTAATCCCGTCAGAGGAGCTGCTCACAATGCCCGCCAGCCCGGTCACCCCAGCAACGGGCCAGGGATGGCGTGCCCTCCGCCCTGCTCCTCCCCCAGAGCTGCATGGGTGAAAGAGGGGAGGCCCAGTGCTTGCTCGGGCCCTCCCTGAGCAGGGCACAGAGGACAATGGCAGGAGGGAGGGATGGTCACCATGGAGCCTACTCCCCAAGATGCTGGAGAGGCCCACGCTGCAGCTGCAGGGGCCAGGGCTGCCCGCCTTCTGCTCCAAACCATCCACGTCTCCCCAGTGAGCGAAGCAAAAAAAATCGCTGGGCTTGGAATTGGGCAGAGGTGGGGAGTAGGGTGAAGAGGGCTTGAATCCTCCTCTAACTAGGAGGCACCTCTCTCTCCTGGATTCAACCTGGGGTGTCATTCCCACACACCTCTCTCTCCGTACCCCTTTTCTCTCCCTGAAGGGAGATTTTAGGGACTAGTTCTTTTCTCTCTAAAATTCTTCGTTTCTAAAATCAAACGATGGATATAGTTCTATGAGCTCTTTAGAGACAAAGGTCCATTAAAATGTATTAATAGATAGTAAAAACAATCATATAAACACAAATCACACATCTAAACAATCAAAAAATTTGAGAACTTAAGATGTCCCCATATACAAAACCTAGACACATCTTAGATATACAGTTGTGTACTCACGAACGTATACAATAGTGAAATAAATCATCACGGGCTTAGGGGACAGAATTCTACAGATGACAAGGCCTAAAAGAAATGAGGTTCCAAAAAAAGGGGGTCTTTGAGATGCTAGAAGGAGTCTCCGCATGGGCAGAGGGTACACAAGTCCAACCCTGAGATCCATCTCTTTCAACGCTGGAGGCCCAAGATTCTAAAACAGAATTGTTCATTCTCAGTGAACAGCTCCATCCTCCTGCGAGCTCCTGCTCTGGCCTCAGCGGGTTTATCAAGGACCCTCCAGTCATCTATGTTAGGTTCTAGCACATCATAGTTTGGCTGACACTTCCCAGGAGAAAAACAAGTTATTCATCAGGCCTCCATCAGTCCCCCAGGGGGGCTGGGCCCTGCTCTCCAACCTACCCCAGCCCCAGGGGAGAGGCCTCTAGTTATCGCCTGGATGGCTTGTCAAAGTAAATTAGATCTAGCAACAGCTCAGGCCTAGACAGAGCCTAGCTACCGAAAGCATTCAACAGTTGTTTACTGGGGAACACAAATCACAATAAAATTATTTATAGGTTAAGTCATTGGGCTGATCTTTGACTGATGGGACCAGCGCCCAGATAAGATTTTCTCCTCCCAGGCATGGGTAGAGTCAACCTCATTCAAGAGGACTAATTTTTAAGGACCTTTGTTCTCATCTGCAAGATAGTTGGGCAACTATTTTCTAGAATAAAAATAAGCTGAATAAAGCCAAGGAAGAGTGTAACAATTGCTGAATGGACGATCCAGAGGAAGGAGGGCCACATGCCCAGAGACAGTCCTGGTATAATTATTAATATTGCCCCCTTTACTGTCCAAACTATCCAAGTGTAGACAATACATTATATGGCCACCCTATGCAGGGGGGGCGGAAAACCAGGCCCAGTGATGATAAGGTGAACGTGAACACCTGATTAGTGGAGTGGGCATTGAGAGCCCAGGTATCTAATCCTTATTGCCCCTATCGAGCTACCCGACTCAAGACAAGTCACTTAAATGATCTGGTTAACTGGTCTGGCTAGTTCTAATGTTCTCATATGAAAAACGAAAGGACATTTACTCTTCAAACATCTGCTAAATGCCTATGCGTGCTATGCTATGTGTTAGGGATGCAGACAAAAATTAGATACTCCCTGTGCCAAGGCCTTCAGTCCAGTGGGAGGACTAGCAATTAAATCAACTCCAGTCTGGTGTAATAAATGTGGCAGCTGAGGCCCCTCCCTGCAGAGGGGCTCCAGGAACACCGGACAGAGCTTTCTTTGCCTGCAGAAGCAGGGAAAACCACCCCAGGAGAGAACTGGTTCAGACCTTGAAGGGTGAGTGAGGTTTGCAAGGCCACGGGAGGTGGGCTGGGGGCAGTGGGGCATTCCAGGCAGAAGGAAAGGTTGGAGCAAAGGCCAGCAGGGAAGGAGTCACTCATGAATTTGAGCATCAGGATCTCTAAACTCCCTTCCAAACTCTATTCTGTGCTGAGCTTCTTCAGAAATGGGTCACCTGCTACTCTGCCAGGAAGGTACCTGCCAAGGATTGTTACAAGGGGCTTGTTCAGAGGCCCCTTACTATGACCATGTTAACATGCCCGAGCATAATTCTTACTGATACCATCCCAGCGATGTTCTTGCCCCTATAGCCATGAACATTGGAAAGGAGGCGGGGCTAATTCCACATCCTGTTTTGCAAATGGGAAACACTGGAGTCCAGACAGGTGCACTGACTTTTCCAAGGTCCCCCAACACATCAAGACAGAATCAGCATCTAAGATGGAGGGGTGCTGCCTGGAGAAGCTTCCATCTCAGAAGACAAAGGGCATGCCTCACATCTTGCCCCAGGCCAGGCTGTGCAGTACCACCAGCCACCCCCATCCTACTTGTGGACATATAAACATGCCCCTGCTCCTCTGCCTACACCCTGGAGAGGTAGGTGCTGGGGCTTGATGGGTAAACCCTGCCTCCCTCCCAGGAACTAAGAATGGTAGAGAGGTCTTAGAAAAGAAAGGCCCAGAGATGCTGGTTCCAGGTGCAGGGACAGGGGGTGCAAGCTGGGCATCTCTGGTCATAGCTATCACCTGGAGCCAGAGCCAAGCTCCTTGACTCCTCTGGCCTTTTGTGGAGCAGCTGCTGTCTGGGAGGCAGGGCAAGGAGCTGGAGGATGACCCATTTAGATAACGGAGGAGAGGTTGGGCTGGCAGAGTGAGGATGGGCCTGGGGGTGGCTCACCATCCCACCAACCTGCCAGAGGACAAGGCGGAGATTAGGAATGGGCTCTCAGGGGAGCCTAAGCCACCTCCCCTAAGCCCCATACTGTACCGCCCCCTCCCTGTCACCCTCCGGCCCCCTTTGCCAGGTTGCTGGGCAAGGAGCTTCCCTGCCCAGCCCTCTTGTGTGGTTTGGCCAGAGCCCAAGGACAAGAGTCGCCTGCAGCCTCCCTCCCTGCTGCTGAACAGGCAGGTGCAGAAGGAGCTAGGAGGGCAGTGTCCCGCCGAGCGGGCCTTTGGCAGCTGACCAGGCGGGAGTCCTCTGGAACTGGGGCTGAAGGAGAGGCTGGGACTTTTAACAAAGCAGAGATCAAAGTGGTGTGGCTTAGGGAAGCTGGGCACAATCCACGCTCTTTCTCAGAACAGGGTAGACCCAGGATGGGGGTGAGGGGTCCCCAGGAGAGGGAAGATAGGGCTTGGTCAAAGCCAGCCTTGCTGGGATAATAACTGTGTATGTCAGGTACTGTGCTAAGCACTGTACATAGACTATTTTATTTAATCCTAGGAGGACCCCACAAGGTAGGAATGATTATAATCCCCATTTTACAGATAAGGAAACTGAGGAACAAAGAAGTTGCTCAGCTGGTAAGCAACAACGCCATGACTTGAAGCCTTGCAGTCTTGACTCTGAGCTAGGCAGTCTCCCCAGTAAGGTTTAAAAACCAGGAATATAATGTAGGACACCCACCCAGGATTCCTTAACATAATCAGGGTATGCGGGGGCGCGGGTTGGTTCCCAGTGACTCTCCCACCCTCAGCACTGCCCGGAGCGCTGGGAACGGCAGCCAGCGAGAGCCAGCTGTCGGAATGACACGGCACACTGGGGCAAGCCGGGGCTCATCTCGAGGCCAACTCCCAGTCCAAGACTCAGTACTTGGTCACTCAGAGCCTGGGTGGTCAAGTCAGGGGCCTATGTTTTGCAGGCAGGGTACAGGCATGCTACTAACCAGCCACAGGATAAGGCACCTCCCCTCTCTGGGCCTCAGTTTCCCCATCTGTCAGTGAAGCAATCAGTCATTTTCAAACCTTCTGAAATCCCACACGGCAATCCAACATAGAAAAGAGACGGAGCACCCCTGCCGCAGAGCACCACCCTCTTGGACTCCCCTCATTTCCCTCACGGCGCTCCTTGGAAGTGAGACTTCCACGAGGATCATCCCAAGGGCTCTGGTGCACTCCACCGTTCCAGGGACCTCACTCAGCATGTGTTTTTCTCTTCAGGGGGAGGGGTGGTCAGGGGAGCTGGGAGAATCACAGGAGGAAATGTCATTTGGATACCAAGATCCAGAGCAAATATTTGTTTTTCCTTTGATGCCCTCTTGGAGCAGCCGTTAGTCCCGCCCACCCGCCCTTCCCTCTGCCCATCCCCTGACAATCCCATCTAGCAGGTTGGGAGGGGGAAGTATGCTAGAAAGGTAGAGGGAAAATTGGGATGGAAGTCACCCAGCAGGTTTTCCTCTCAATCTAGCCCCCACCAACAATCTCAATTCATGTCAGGGGAGGTCTTGGGCAGCCCCCACATGGCACCAGGTCTCCCTTGGTTCAGGGAGAATGGTTGAGGGGCAGGGTTGGGGGCAGTGTGCGCAGGAGGGCAATGCTCCAGCACTGAGAAACCATTAGCACGGCACGCAACTGCTCTCCAAGAAGGAGGGAGACCCTGAGCAAGTTCTCAGCAGCAGTACTGGGTGGTCTAGATCAGGGAGGCTCAGAGCAGGCCCCATGCCTACTGATCTTGGCTCCCTACTTACAGCAAGAGGCTTGTGGCCAGGGAGTATCTTCAGAATTCCCTCTGTTCTGATGTAATAAAAGCTGGAATTCCTGCCTAGAGACGCTGAGGCTTGAAAACTGAAAGCTGGTTTATCTCACTCTGGAATCAAATGAGATCTCTCTCTTTCTCTTTCTCTCTCACACTCACATCCTCTCTCTCTCTCTCTCTCTCTCTCTCTCAGTCACACACACGCACACACACACACACACACACATGCAGCGACCCAGGTCAAGAACCTGATGGGATCTCTGAACTTCACTCTCAGTTTCTGGACCACCCCAGTCCTCACGACCCAGTCTTTCCCCCCCAGGTGGCACAAGGCACAAGCCACGAGCAGCTATTTTCCAGCTGAGCCACTGACAAAGCCTGAGCCCAGCAGTCTCAAGCCTGGGGCCTCACTGGGTCCTCACACTTTATAAAAAGAGAAAGAAAAGGAAAGCCAGGAAGTACATGATTGCCCAATAGCTGTAACCTGGCAGCGGGCAACTGGGGACTGTGCCAGGCGTGAGCAGGAAAAACATACTCGGTCCTATTGATGGGGCCATAATCCACCCCTTTCTCCAACATCCACTCTCCTTCACCAATGAAATGACTTCTTGTATTTCAAACCAGCTATTGGCTTCAAAAGCAAACACAACCTGGGGAGGCAACCACTGCCATAGCCAATAGGGCAATCCATAGACAGACAGACAGACAGACACACACACACACACACACACACACACACACACACACCTTACAACCAGCACCCAAATGGATTCAGCAAAAACATAATCCCTAAACCACCTGCTCTAAAAGGCTTGTTAAAATATAGATTATTTGGCCCCATCCTATGCCTTCAGAATAAATTCCACTGGGTGTGGAACCAGAGAAGTATTTTAAACAAACACCCCAGGTGATTCCTGTGTACATTAAACTCAAGTTGTAGAACCACAGTGAACCAGTGTTAACTAACTTTTGGCAAATCTGCCATCCTTTCTGGGCTGGCCTTTCTAGATATAAATAGTAGTTCTCACTGCAAGTTCTATGTGTCAGGAACAATTTCAGTTCACATTTGTATCTGATTCAGTCCTCACAGCAGCTTGTGAGGAAGGCTGTGTTTTCTCCATTTTTGCAGAAAGGGAAACAGAGTACAGAGATGAGGAAATTGCCCAAGTTCACACAGATTACTGTGACTGCTACACACACACCGAATTAAAAGGGCAAGTTCCTGAAAAGGCCCCAAAGGTATCTTGGGGCACAGTAGACTTGGTATCAGTGCCTGGTTTCATACTTTCCAGAATCAAAACCTCATCATGATGAAACTGCAACTAAATCTTAGCGCCGTAAAGGACCTAAATGTCAAGCCCAGCCTGTGCAGATCTCCGCAGTACGCTGGGATGCCAGACTCTTAGAGTCGAGGAACTCCACAGGGCATCCATTCATTCCACCGCACACATAGTTGTCAAATTCCTACTAAGGTCAGGTGCCTTCTATTTCCACTCTATTGAACAGTCTGTTCCAAGCAAAATTCAGCTTAAGTCCCATGTTCTCTAGGGAGCCTTCCCATCCCAAGACAGGACAACATTGTCTTCCGTGCGCCCGAGCCAGCTATCCGCCTCACTTACTTGGCGGCCTGGTGCTGCTGGGGTCCTCAGGTCTACCACCACTGTCCCTCCAACCGTGGACAGACACATCTGCAAAGGACACCCCTCCACACACACAGGCACCCTCGGCGTGGTAAGACCGCCGGCTGGCAACTCCCCCGAGCCACGCACGCGCTCCCGGCCCACCCTCCTTCACTCCCCCCAGCCGCCAAGCCCGCGCCGGCAGAGCCGCACTCACCAGGCGCCCCGAGCTCTCCCGTGCCTTCTTCACCTTCCCGTAGGTGCCTTTGCCCAGGGTCTCCAGGAACTCGTAGCGGTGCCGCAGGTTGTGCTTGTGGTGGTGCCGCTTCACCGCCTGCTTCTTCATCAGGGGCTTGGGGGACTTGATGAGCCGGTCGGCCAGGGGCCGGGCGAGCTCCGCGGCCAGGGCGGCGGTCGAGGCAGCGGGGCCGGGGCGCGGAGGAAAAGCCGATGACTCCATGGCGAGCAGGCCGGGAACGAAGGCGACAGCGGAGTCAAGCGGCCACGCGGGGAGAGTTAGAGCCCCCGGCTCTCGTCCGGCATCCGGCCGGGACCCCACGGCCGCACCGCAGCGCTCGGAAAGCGCAGCATTCCAAGTTGTTATAAGCGCTCTGTGCCTGAGGCCCTGGCCACGCCCCCTCCAGCGCCCATTGGCCGGCTCGCCGGCGGCGCGTGACCACGGCCACCTGCATTGGCTCGCCAGGCTCCCGGCCCCGCCTCCTCCTCTGGGCGTGGCTGGGAAAGGTGTCAATAGAGCCCGCCCCCTTGAGCCCCCGAGGCCAGGACTGGGGAATAGGGGATTCCGGCGGCGGAGGCAGCTGGAAGTCCGGAACCTTACTTTGAGGGCCCTCGAAACTGTTCTAGCCTCTGAGTGGCTCTTGGTCCTGGTTAGAGTCCCTGTTTTTCTGTTGTGCTGTGTTTTCAGTTGGCAAGGGGCAATCTGAGGGCGCTAGAGATCACCAAAGTATTTCTCCATCCTCAGTAATTTGCTTCTCCCAAGCCCAGATCTATAAAGTTACTTGGCCACTTCTTGAAGTCCATAAAAGAGAAAACGGGATAGGATAGGACAGGGGTAGAATCCAGCCAAAGGAGAGCGCTGGTGGAGAACTGTTCTAGGGTTCTGAGTTCGCTCGTTTTCAGTTAGATCAACCTTAATTGGATCCTGGAATCTAGTGGTCCTGGAAAGGTCTCACCTCTTCATGAAAGAGGGCTTCTGGGGTTGAGTGGACCCGTCAGATGTGGTGGAATTAATGAAGTGTTGGCAGGAGCTGGAGAGAGCCAAAAAGGAAACATGTGTTCATTAAAAAATACATTACAATCCTACTATTTAACTTGTATCCCTAAATTTGTAAATAGATGCCCCACCCAAAGTGTTCTTGTCCCTGATTTCAGAGCCAGGAGGACTGGTCATGAAGTGTGGCTTGGTTTTTGAGGCCTGGAGCGCTGGGGCCAGAATCTCTGTTCTCAGGCGCATTTAGAGTGAAATGAGAATGTCCATAGTTTTTCCTCTTTGCTCTAAATGGGAAGAAAGGCGCATTTCCTCTTTTAGCTGCCTTGATAACCCAATCCTGTGAAATGAGTATTATTCTGCCCAAGGCCACACAACTAGTGAGAAGGTGGCAGAACTGGGATTCAGACCCTGATCTGTGAGGAGGAGAGTAGAGGACATCAGACCTTGATCTCCTTCCCTGAGGGGAGCCCTCCTGCAAGCAGACTCATGGCCCTGACTGGATTCCAGCTATGCTGGGGAGACAGCCTCCCCTTCATGCCCCCAGGAGGATGGTACCTCCAGCTGTGTGTTCAGGGCATGCTGAGGATCAAGAAGGACTAGACCCCTAGGTGGATTTTGTATTTAGTGTCTATCCACTTTCCTACTTCCACTTCCACAGATCCTTTGATCTTTTCTAGAGTGAGTCATGGATGTCTCCATCTCTCCACGCAGCCCTTCCCCTCCTTTGTGGCTGGAGAAGATCCACCTTGGACAGGAAACCCACTCCCCTCCCCCAAATCTGGAGGGCCACAGGAGGGAGAAGCTGGTCTGGCATTCTTTCCTCTACCAGCCTCTGCTTTTGCTCTGGGTTATCTGTGAAAATAGGATGAGACCCAGGAGACAGTTCCCCTGACCTGCTGTTTCCGTTCCCATCTGAGATCTGCATCCATTCCTGGGGGCCCATCCAGAGGGATTAGGACTCTCAAAAGGAAGCCTGGGTAACATAAGAGCAAGCACAGGGCTGAGTGTTCGGAGACCTGAATTCTGGTCCTGACTCTGACACTAACCAGTTCTGTGGCTTTCTATTGATTACTTCGTTCACTCTACAAATACTGGTGCCCACTAGGTGCTGGCCCAGGGGACGTAACGGTGACAAGATCTCTGCCTTTGGAGTATTCTCAGTCTAGTGAGAAACAAGCAAATCCTGTACAGAGGCAGAAGGGTCCATGATGGAGGAAGAACAAAATGCCCTTGGGATGTACAACAGGAGAGAGGCTCTAGCCCAGATGGGAGGAGGCCGGTCAGGGGCAGCTTCCTGAAGACAGGGCTTTTCAAGCTGAGACCTGGAGAACAAGTGGCTATTAGCCAGCCAAATCAACATTTCTTCATAAAAATCATACAGATGAGCCTAAGATTCTCTTTCTGGCTTAATCTAGATTCCCATGAATTTTTCCAGGTATCCCCAACATCCAGTGTGCTGCTAGCACATAAAAGGTGCTCAGTAGATGCCTGTGGATGAAAGGAATGGAATCCAAAGACTAAAGTGAAAGCACTACATGTGACAGATCTCCTGCCGTTACCAGCTAACTGGCCATGCAATGGGTGACATCACCTGCAATCTCTTGGGCCTTTCTCACCCCCACTTCGGCTTTCTTTGACTATAATCTCAATCCCCATTTAGGTGACAACAGCAGGCAGGCACGGGAGACAGACAAACAGGCATAGAGCCGCAACAGCACGTGACTCAGAAATGGTCTGACCTGCTGAAACTCAACTCTCAAATTCCTTGAAGACAGACCTGGTTGGTGGGAGAGCAAGGGTGCCTCGCAGGGAATCTGTGCGGGTCAGGGACTCTGCCGCCAGCGGGTCTCAGGGAATTCCTCAGTCATGTGCTTGGGTGTGTGGATGTGCTTGGATGTCCGGGCTGAGCTAAGCCATTTTCTATCCTGCCTGCCCCACTATCTAGTCCTGGGAGGGGGAAGCCTGCCCCCTCTCCCGCAGCCCCATGTCCCTTTGCTGATCCATGTCTGAAGGGCTCTTGGGAGAAACCATTCGTTGGGTCTACCATATGCCGCACTGGGAAAACAATCGGGAGCAAACCTCAGTTCCTGTCTTTACACACTTCACAACCTCTGTGTGTGTCTGTGGGGTGTTGGGTGGGTCCAGACTAGCAAACTGTTGTGTCCTGCTGGGAGCAGGCAGGAGCACAGGTGGGGGCACCAGGGCCGTGCTTTGCAGGTGGGGTGGGGGTGGGAGCAGGTAAGGCAGATCTCGGATACATCTAAGATGAGTGTTGAGGAGTGACTGAGAATTAGCTCTCTACTCTCAGGGAGTTTTCAGTTTAGCGAGGGAAATAAATATGCGACTTACCACATAATCCAAGTTGAAAAGTGGTAAGGCCCCCAAGAGAGGTATAAAATGCCTGTGGGGCCTGAAAGGATGGGTTTTATTCTGGCCCAGGGGCTTGAGGGGGGCCCTCACAGTTGAGCTTTGAAGGGTGGGTGGGATTTGGATAAGCTGTGAGGAGAGGCCTTGGGGATGGGGTAGGGGGTGGGGGTGAGGGAAGGAGATACTACATGTGTGGTAGGGCTGGGGAGAGGAGAGGGGAGCGAGCATGCTCTGTAACTCATGAGCTACAGGGGGCCTTCTGGGCCCTAGAGCATCTTCTCCCTCGGAATCATCTTAGTATAGATGCCTGAGCATCTCTTCTTTTCTCTGGGAAAGGGGCTCAACTCACTACTCCCTCCCAGTCTGACACCTCAGCCATCTTATTCCCTTTCCCCAGGGCTCTGAGAATGAGTTACAGTCTGCAGTCACCGCTCCCGCCCCCATGGGGGACAATATGGCCTTGAAGGTGTTGACCTTCCCCTCTCAGGGGCTAGTGGAACTACCTGGATAGGAACCTGCGTGTTAGAACTGGCCCTCCAAGCCTGGAAGATGTAAATCCAAAGACGGATGTAAATCCTATTAGTTGTTGGCGAATTGGGATGCCTGGCTCAAAGCTGCCCTCTTCTGACCAAACTAAGCCTAGCAAGTTTTATGGGATGCCCAAAGCTGTGACCACAAGGCAGGCGATGTGTTCCTCCAATGAGCCATTCATTTATTCATTCATTCATTCATTCAACAAATATGGACTGAACTATTATAATAGGTATAATAATATCTAACGTTTATGGAGTCAGCCCTGGTTCTAAGCTCCTTAGATATAGTGTCACATCCAAGACCGCCCAGCTGGGAAGTAGCAGCACTGGGAGGCAAACCTGTCAGCGCAACATCACGCCTTGCTCCCCCGACTATTGCATTGCCTTGTGGCGCCTGAATGGGTGCTGGAAATTCAACATGGAACTAGTGATCTTCTAACGATCTAAATTTTTTTTTTTTTTGAGACAGAGTCTTGCTCTGTCTCTGGGCTGGAATGCAGTGCCATCATCATAGCTCACTGCAACCTAAAACTCCTGGGCTTAAGCAATGCCCTGGGCTCAGCCTCCCGAGTAGCTGGGACTACAGGTGTACACCACCACACCCAGCTAATTTTTTCTATTTTTGGTAGAGACAGGGTCTTGCTCTTGCTCAGGCTGGTCTCGAACTCCTGGCCTCAAGCAATCCTCCTGCCTCGGCCTCCTGAAGTTCTAGGATTACAGGTGTGATCCTAGTTTTGTGCTGCAAACACTGATAATAGTCCTCCAGCTCTCAATTACAACGGGAAATTTAATGTTATTCACAGGCTAGGCCTGGGAGGGGATGTGGCTGAAGGAGAAGCTAGCTCTTGTCCCCAAGCCAGAGAGCGTGCCCTGTCTCCTGCTGGAGCAGTAGAGAGAGCACACAAAGAGAGACAGGAGTCCTGGGTTCCAGCTCCACTTGTGCCACCAACCCACACCGTGGCCATGGCCATGGACTTTCTCTTTTGGGGGTGGTTCCTTATCTATGAAAAGGGATTTGGATAAACCAACTCTGAATTTTGTTTCAAATCTGCTGTAATATCTCTGCAATAGCTAAGCAGGGACAAATTATCGATAAAAATCTCAGTCACTCACCTTCTTTTGCCCACCTGGTAACCGATTCCCTCTCTCACCCCCAGGCTGGCATGACGATTTGGGCTGAGGAGTCTGGCAACCTGGGTTGGGGCTCTGCTCTGCCACTGTCGTTATATCTCATCTCTCTGCCACTCTATGTAGAGGAATTACTCTTTTATGCAGCTAACACACTTTGCACCAGCCACTATTCCTTAGATTATCTGTATTAATAAATTCAATCCTCCCTACAGCTCTATGAAACAGGTACTAGCATATGATTGTCCCCATTGCACAGATGAGGAAACTGAGACACAGAGAGATTCAGTAACCTACACGGGGTCACAAAGCTGGCAAGTGGTGGAGCCAGATTGGACCGCAGGCGATCCGGCTGCA